GACGGCCCAGCTAATTTTTTTTGTTTTCTTTTTGAGCGGAGTCTCGCTCTGTGCGCGCCAAGGCTGGAGTGCAGTGGCCGGCAGTCTCGGCTCAGCGTGCAACGGCTCGTGCCTCTGTTCCGCCGCCAGTGTCCCTGCCTCAGCGCTTCCCGGAGTGAGGCTGGACGACAGCGCGCGCACCAGCCTCGGCGGGACTAGTGTTTGTGTGGGTCACATTTTTTAGTTAGAGACGGCGGTTTCACTCGTGTTATCCAGGCATGGTCTTGATCTCCTGACTCCTGACCTCGTGATCCGCCCGTCTCGGCCTCCCAAAGTGCTGGGATTACAGGCTTGAGCCACCGCGCCTGGCCCCGGCTAATTAAAAAAAATTTTTTTTTATTGTTAGTAGAGATGGGATTTCACCATGTTGGTCAGGTTGGTCTTGAACTCCTGACCTCAGGTGATCTGCCCGTCTCGGCCTCCCAAAGTGCTGGGATTATAGACATGAGCCACCACCCCCCGCAACAGATTTTTAATGTAGACAAAACAGCCTTATATTGGAAGGAGATGCCAGATATGACTTTCATACATATAGAGAAACCTGGCAACTTCAAAGGACGGACTGACTCTCTTGTTAGGATCTAATGCAGCTAGTGACCTTAAGTTGAAACCAGTGCTCATTTACCATTATAAGAATCCTAAGACCCTTCAGAATTATGCTAAATCTACTCTGCCTATGCTCTGTTAGTGGAACAACAAAGCCTGGATGATAGTACATCTGTTTACAGAGGGTTTACTGAATATTTTAAGCCCACTGTTGAGACCTACTACTCAGAAAAATATTCCTTTCAAAATATTACTGCTCATTGAAAATGCATCTAGTCGTCCAAGAGCTCTAAGGGAGATGTATAGGGAGATTAATGTTGTTTTCATGCCTGCTAGCACAAGATTCATTCTGTAACCCTTGGATGAAGAAGTAATTTTGACTTTCAAGTCTTATTATGTAAGAAATACAACTTGGAAGGCTATAGCTGCCATAGATACTGATTCCTTGGACAGATCAGGGCAAAATAAATTGAAAACCTTCTGGAAAGCATGTGCCATTATAGATGCCATTAAGAACATTGGTGATCATGTCAAAATATCAACAGTAATAGGAGTTTGGAAAAAGTTGATTGCAGCCCTCATGGATGACTTTGAAGGAGTCAAGACTTCAGTGGAGGAAGTAACTGCAGATATGGTGGAAATAGCAGGAGATGTAGAATTAGAAGTGGGGCCTAAAGATGTGACTGAAATGCTGCAATCTCACGATAAAACTTGAATGGATGAGGACTTGATTGTTATGGATGAGAAAAGAAAGCAGTTTCTGGGCTGGGTGTGGTGACTCACACCTATAATCCCAATACTTGGGAGGCTGAGGCAGGTGGATCACTTGAGCCCAGGAGTTCAAGACCAGCCTGGACAACATGACAAAAGCTCATCTCTATTAAAAATACAAAAACTAGCTGGGCATAGGTGGCATATGCCTGTAGTCCCAGCTACTCAGGGAACTGAAGTAGGAGGATCACCTGAGCCTTGGGAGGTCAAGACTGCAGTGAGCCATGATCACACTACCACACTCCAGCCTGGATGACAGAGTGACACCCTGTCTCAAAAAACAAAAGAAAAAAACAAACAAACAAACAAAAAACGTAGCTTCTGGAGATGGAATGTATTCCTGGTAAAGATGTTGTAAACATTGTTAAAATGACAACAGAGATTTTGAATAGTATATAAACTTACTTGATAAAGCAGTGGTACGGTTTGAGAGCATTGCTTCCAATTCTGAAAGAAGTTCTGTGGTGGATAAAGTGCTGTCAACGTCCCATACTACAGAGAAATCTTTCATGAAGGAAGAGTAAATTGATGGATGCAGGAAACGTCCTTGTTGTCGTATTTTAAGAAATTGCTATAGCACGCCAGCCTTCAGCAAGCACCACTCTAATCCGTCAACAGCCATCAACATTGAGGCAAGGCCTTTCACCTGCAAAGTGATTGTTTTGCTGAAGGCTGAGCTGATCGTTAGCGTTTTTTTTTTTTTCTTTCTTTTTTTTTTTTTTTTGGAGACCTAGTTTCACTCTATCGCCCAAGCTCAAGTGCAGTAACACAATCCTCAGCCTCCCCAGTAGCTGGGATTACAGGCTCCCACCACCGCGCCCCGCTAATTTTTGTATTTTTAGTAGAGACAAGATTTCGCCATGTTGGCCAGGCTGGTCTCGAACTCCTGACCTCAGGTGATCCGCCTGCCTCAGCCTCCAAAAGTGTTGGGATTAC